AATTAGTTTTCATAAAAATCCACGAACACTTTACAAAAGGTCCAAAGGTCTTGCTTATTCCTGGACATTTTACAAGTAAGTTGATTAATGTCTTAAAATTTTTTCCAAACAAAATTATAATCGTGTCCTTATCGACAGGAGCTTATTCGTCCAAGCATCGCTGTGAGTTCCACGAGCGTTTCACTGCATTTTCATCTACTAATCACTAATTTTGCGTATTCCTGCACATTTTACAAGTAAGTTGCTAAATGTCTTAAAATTTTTTCCAAACAAAATTATAATCGTGTCCTTATCGACAGGAGCTTATTCATCCAAGCGTCGCTGTGAGTTCCTCGAGCGTTTCACTGCATTTTCATCATGCCAAATAAAAAGAGCGAAATATGGCTGCACTTCTCCGATGAGAAAGAAAAAAAGTAAAGTGTAAGCTATGTGGTCAGCAGATATCCGTGGCAAACAAATCAACGTGCAGCCTGATTCGCCATATGAATAGGCGGCATCCCTTCCAAAAAATTGCTAGGCAGGAGCATTTGGAAACAGAAGTTGACACGAAGGCAGCAGCAACGCAGGTAGAAGCACCACAGAGAGCAGCAACGCAAGTAGAATCACAACAAGCAGCAACACAGCGAAATACACCGCGAGCATCATACGCACCGCAAGGATCGGTATCACAGTACCTACACAAACCACTTCCAGTCAAAAAGCAGCAACAAATCGATGACCAGGTAATTAAAATGATTGTCCGCGAGTACCATCCATTTAGCATCGTCGAAGACGTGGAATTTAAATAGCTAGTATGTCTCCTAAATCCGAACTATAAACTCCCAACTAGGAAAACAGTGTCATCCTCGTTAATACCGGCCATGTATAATGTAACCATGGAGGTGGTGAAAAGGCGGTTAGAGAGGGCGTATGCTATATGTGTGACGATGGACGGTTGGACTTCCCGTGCAGGAGATAGCTTCTTTAGTGTGACTGCCCACTACATTGTGGAAGAGGATAAAAAAACATTCCTTGCGTCGGATTTGTTAGCTTGCTCCTCATATTTAGATAGGCACACAAGTGAAAATATTACAAAAAAAATTTACGAAATTTTTTGCGAATGGGGAGTTAGTAACAAGATAATTGTTATAGTTAGTGATAATGCAGCTAATATGAAAGCAGCAGTTCGTGGGGGGAGGTTGGCGGCATTGGGTAAAATGGCAATGTGGTTTAAAAGAAATAGAATCAGTTTTGCATAAAATAAAAGTAATTGTTAGGTTTTTTTTTCAAAAAGCACTTACGCTTCTTCAAAACTTAAAGCAACATTGCAGGCTATGCAGCAACCAGTTTTGAAACTTATTAATGACGTACCTACTCGCTGGAACTCAACATATGAAATGTTGAAACGCGTATTAGTTTTAAAAGATGCAGTGATTTCCACTTTAGCTTTAGTTAAGTCGTCGATGCTGGCCAGAGATGACGAATTACAAACAATTAATTTTTTAAGTAACGAAGAGTGGTTGGTAGCAGAGCAATCAATGAAAGTTTTAGAAATTTTTTAAGTTGTTACGACATTAATTTGTGTCGAAAAGCACATAAGTGCATCTTGCGTAATCCTGTACATTAAGCAATTAAGCAAACATTTAAAAACCTCCAATACCTCGCAACTAAGCCCCGATGTAAACAATTTGGTTGCAAAACTGTTAAACGAACTTAACAATAGGTTTAAAGACTTATGGCCTTATTCATAAAAAATAAAGTAGGTTTAAAGAGCTTTATAAATTGACGTTTTCATACATTTTTCAATTTATAAACCTTTTTTAAAGCTACTTTATTTTTTATGAATAAGGCTATTAGAATTTAACGAACTAATAGCGCAAGCCACAATTCTGGATCCAAGATTTAAAAAATTTGGATTCATAACTGAAACAGCATATAATCCCAATGTCGACAAATTATATTTAAGAGTTGCTAATATGGTTGTTCAAAACACCGATGCTTGTGACGAAAATCACAATGACTGCAGTTCAATTGTAGAAAGATTGGATAGCGACCGGTTTGATCTCATTTGGAAAGACTTTGACGCTGAAGTCCAGAAATACGTAAGGCCAGCAAATCAAACAGCAAATGCTATTATTGAGGTGGACAAATATTTAGCTGAACCTGTTCTTCCGCGAAAAGACCATTCTGGAAAGCCGAATGATCCACTGGTGTGGTGGCATCAACGGAAAAACATTTATCCTCGGTTGTTGCAACTTGCTAAAAAACGTTTATGTATTTCTTCTACATCTGTTCCTTGTGAGCGCATATTTTCGCACGCTGGCCAGCTTGTAAGCGAAAAGCGGGAGAGTCTTAAAGCCAGTAAGGTATCTCAAATCGTCTTCTTAAATTACAATTTAGGCAACAATGATTTCTAATGTTAAACACTATGTTTTTAAAACATAAAACGAATGTGCCTAAT